TCCCGGCGTTCTCTTCCGTGCGCAGTTGCACTTTGAGACATGCCGAATGCAGCCGCGACGGCGCCATTGCAAACGAATTGCTAAATCTCGAGGGCGAGTCCGGAAACGGTGTGTGCGCGCGCCGCAGGTGTAGTGCATCAGGGACGTGTAATTACTCGTAGAAAGGGCACCTACGTGGGTATCTAGCTTGGTGGTCCTGCGCTTGAACCACGTACCACGTGTTTTGACTTGTCCAGGCCACCCAAGGGGGTGTCTGACACGGCGGTCTTCGCTGGAACCATGTTTTTTTCGTGTCCAGGCCAACCAGGGGGGGATTGACTTTCCTGAGGCCTGAAACGGAACGTCGAAAGCTAATGTGTATTTTTGTTTTTGGTTTTCGGGTGCCTCTAGGCATTCCTGGGCCTTCCTGCGCTCCAGACGACCGCGTGTTCGATATCCCCCTGGGTGTCCTGGAACCAGGTGTTTTCGCGTGTCCAGGCCACCCAGGAGGTATCTAACATGGTGGTCCCGTGCTGGAGCCCCGCGTCTTCGCGTGTCCAAACCACCCAGGCAGATATCGATCTAACATGTTTGAAATTCCGGTTGGTAAGATAGGCGGTGCAGTAATAATTTCGATTGTTGCGGACGTCTCAAGCGAAACGGTCGTGTTGCAGAACTTGTTGAGGATGTCTTGAGCGAAACGCTTGTTTCGGAGACTTTTAAGAACCTGGGCGCCCAAGGATGCCCCATGGGGGCCCTCGGAGCGCGGACGCACCGTAATTTGCAAGGGATCGTGGCCCTGGGAGCGTGGACGCAGGTTCGTTTACCAAGGATCGTGGCCCTGGGAGCGCGGACGCAGCTTGGTTTACATGGGATCGTGTTTCAGGGAAGGCGGACGCAGGGTAATTTACAACAGATCGTGGTCCTGGGAGCGCGGACGCAGCCCAATGTGCGACGGATCGTGGCCCAGGGAGAGTGGGCGCAGCGTAATTTGCAAGAAATCGTGGGCCAGGGGGCGCGGGCGGAGCCTGATATGCGGTGGATCGTGGCCCAGGGGGCGCTGGCGCAGCGGATCCTGGCCTTGGTGGGGCGGGCGCAGCGTGGTTTTATCAGGGACCGCGTCCCTGGGAGCGCGGGCGCAGCGTAACTCATGAGGTAGCGCGGCCCCGGGGGCGCGGGCGCAGCGTAGTTTCCAAGGGGTCGTGGCCGCGTGGCCCAGGGAAAGCGGACGCAGCGTGATTAACGATGGATCGTGGCTTGGGGAGCGCGGACGCAGCGTAATCTACGATGGATCGTGGCCCTTGGGGGGCTGACGCAATGTAACTTACTGAGGAACATGGCCCTGAGGGGGTGCGGACGCAGCGTGATTTACGATGGATCGTGGCCGTGGGAGCGCGGACACTGTAGTTTACATGGGATCCTGGCCCTGGGGTGGTGGGGGGGGGCGGACGCAGCGTAATTTACACGGGATCGTGGCCCTGGGAGCGCGGACGCAGTGCAACTTTTGATGGATCGTGGCTCTGGGAGCGCGGACGTAGTATAATTTACAAAAGGATCCTGGCCCTGGGTTAGGGACGTCCCGAGGCACGTTCCCCGACGCATTTCCTGGCACGTTCCCTGGCGCGTCGCCTGGCACGTTGTCTGGCACGGTCCGTGGCGCGTTCCATGGCGAGTACCGCTGGCACGTCGTGCTGCGTGTCCCCTGGCGCGTGCCGTGGCACGTCCATTGGCACGTTCCAGAGTGCGTTCGTTTGGTACGTCCCGCGGTGCGCCCCCATGGCACGTCCTTTGCCGCGTCCCCTGGCGCGTCCCTTGGGACGGTTCGCGGCGCGTCCCCCTGGCGTGTCCCCCAGTCAAATAGCTCTGGGGCAGCTCCTGTGCGCTCAGGCATCTCGAGCTTCAGATCCGGATCACTTCGGTCAGGACTCGGATGCAAATGGGGATTCGATAAGCAACACTATAGAGCACAATCTCGGCGTGCCAGATCGCAACTGAGCACGGCGCAGCACAGCACAGCCTTTGGCACGGTACGTGAAGATCGATACATGCAACATTGCAATTGCCCGTCGCCCAATCAGGTGCCTTGGACACGTTACCATGCCTTACATGTCTAGATGCCTTTCTGGGTTCGTGGGTCGATCGTTTTTTAGTTCAGGCCATGTCTGCCTTGGACGCGTGAGTTTCATCGTGCCTATGGCGTTTACGAGGCGGTCTGTTGCGAGGCCTGTGGCGTCGCCTTGTTGCGCATCTGCGCGCTTTGCGTCGCCGCCAAGCTGGCTGGTTTGGCAGCCTTCCAGTTTTTTCGTCGCGTTTCTGGCTCAGACTGCTGCTTGCGCTTCAACTCCTTGTGTCGACCTTGCGCTCCCGGGTTGCCTGGCCGCTGCGTCCTGGCTTTGCAGCGCTTCTTTTGTCCACTGCCTATTTGCGTGGCCGTGGCTGGATTCTGTCATGATGGCGCGTTCGACTAGGTTCGTTTGCAATTGGCACTGCTACCTGCCTACCGCGCCTGGGGCTCCTCTTCGCCGCCGACGTAAGTGTGTGTGTGTGTGGGTGTTTGTGCGCGCGCGTATTTGGCGTGTATCTTGGTGTGAGGGTGTGGGTATTTGGTATCGTGTTCATGCCGCATCCCCTATCTGACATTGCGTTGCTTTGATTTGTTTATTCCGGAAAGGGCACGGGCCTAGTGTTGTCTTTCAGTCCGGTAACTTGTCCCCAGTGCCAAGTTAGCGTAGGGCAGGTGGATTTCTTCTCCGATGCGTAACGAATTCTCGTAAGTCCAGCGGATTACAAGTGGAGGCGTCCTCGAACGACACGCTGGCTGGTTTCTGAAATTCCGTTCGAGGCAACACATGATCAGTGAACCTTTGCGTTTGTTGCGGATGACTCGAGCGAAACGTTTGTTTAGCAGAATTCGCTGGGATGCCTCCTGATGTCTCGGGCGAAACGGCTCTTTTGTCCAATAGATGGCTGCCCTCGTGGGGTTCGGTTCCTTTTTGCGATTGCGCGTATTTTTATTGATTGAACCAGCGAGCGCTTCAGCGTGAAAACGTGTGGGTTCCTAGCGCCCCCAAGCGGGACAAACCTAAAAACGCATGGCTCCTAACGCCCTGAAGCGGGACAAGCGTGAAATCACGTGGGTTCCTAACGCCCCAGAGCGGGACAATCATGAACATGCGTGGGTCCCTAACGCCCGAGAGCGGGACAATTTCGAGAACACTCGAGTCCGTAACGCCCCAGCGCGGGACAAACGTGACAACGCGTGGGCTCCTAACGCCCCAAAGCAAAGCAGGCGTGCAATCACGTGGATTCCGAACGCTCACAGTTGAGTAAGCGTGAATATACGTGGGTTCCTAACGCCCCCGAGCGGGACAAACGTGAAAAGACGTGAGTTCCTGACGCCCCGGAGCGGGACGCATATGACATCACATGTGATTCTAATGTCCAAGAGCGGGACAAGCGTGAAAACACGTGCCTCCCTAACGCTCCAGGGCGGGACATGCGAGAACACACATTTGTTTTGAACGCCCCAGGGCGGGACAAGCGTGGGAACCCTTGGGTTTTCACGCCCCAGAGCGGGACAAACATGAAAACACGTGGGTTCCCAACGCCCCAGAACGGGACAAGCATGAAAACACATGGGTATCTAACGCACCAGAGCGGGACGTGAAATCAGATGGGTTCCCAATGCTCCAGACCGGGACAAGCGAGCACACGCTTGTTCCTGACGCTCCAGAGCAGGACAAACGCGAAAACACGTCAATTCTTGACGCCCCAGAGCGGGTCAAACGTGACAGCACGTGGGCTCCTATCGGCCCAGAGCAGGACAAACGTGAAAACACGTGGGTTCCTAACGCCCCAGCGCGAGTCAAGCGTGAAAACGTGGGTTCCTAACGCCCCAGAGCGGGACAAACGTGAGCACACGTTGGTTCCTAACGCCCCACAGCGTGACCAACGTGAAATCACCTGGGTTTCTAACGCCCCAGAGCGCTCGATCGCTTGTGCAAAAAATCGCCATTCACTTCGGAGCTGACTCGGGTCTGGAGCTCAAGCTGGTTAACGTTCCGCGCGCTTCGCCTGCAACCAGCTCGAACTATGTGCTCAGGCAGCTTGAGCTTGAGCTCCTGATCAGTTTGGTAGGGATTGAAGGATCGGCTGGGAGCGTGATTCCCAAGAACGCAGCCCTGGTGGCGCGGACACAGCGTCATTTACAAAGGGTCTTGGACCTGAGAGTGCAGACGCCGCATAATTCACGAAGGATCGTGACCCTCGGGCGCGTTCCATGCACGTTCCGTGGCGCCTCCCCTGGGCACGTTGCGTGGCGCGTCCCTTGGGACGTCCCCTGGCACGTCCACTGGCACGTTCTGTGGCGCGTCCCCATGGCACGTTCCCTGGCGCGTCCCGTGGCGCGTCCCCCTGGCTTTTCGCGCGGCGTGTCCCCTGAGACTCTCAGACGGCCCCTGGCACGTCCACTAGCACGTTACGTGTCGCGTCCTCGGGCACGTCACTGTGCGGCGCGGCACAGAGCAGAGCAGTACGACACAGTCCCTGGTCCAGTATCATCACGATGCGTATTTTCAGCATTGCCACTGCCCATCGCCCAATTGAGGTGCTTGGAAACGTGCCCATACCTCGCAGTTCTAAATCCCATTACGGGTTCGTGGGTCGAGCATGTTTCATCATGCTGTCGAGTGTCGTGGTGTGAAGTTTGAGTCGTTGAGTTGATATGGTGGTCGTCCCTTCGGGCTTTGAATGGTTCTGTGGTTGCATTGCGGTTGACTTCGGGTGCTCTCGTCGCGCCCCATTTCTCATCTTGCAGTCTGTCTTCCTTGTCCGGTGGGGAGCTTGATTGTGCCGGCGGGTTTCTTGCGGGTGTGATGCGGAAGTACTGCGTGGAGTTTGCATCGATTGCCCGCCAGGTTTGCACTTGTATCTTTACCACGAGTGGGGCAAGCGCTATCTTCTTGTTCGAAAATTCCACATCATAGCCCGTGTCTTCCAATCACATCTGGGGGGGCGCATTGATTTGAACTGCCGCAGCCGTTGCTTCCAATAGACAGCAAATTGTTTGCCTAGGTTCTGCAGTACAGTGAGCCTGCAGTGCAGGTTCCCTTCTCTTGTGCTGGACGACGGTTGTGAGCTCCCCCTGGGAGTATTCCTGGGAAGAATTTCCCGGCGCACGTGCGAATGCGCGCCACGTTCGGCTGTTGTGTCTTCGTGCGCGACTGTATATTCGGGGCGTATTCGCAAACCATGATGGTTTGCGTTGGCCCATGGCGGAGATATTCAGTAGTGCAGTCCGCATGGCCCTTTGTCCATTGCGCAAATTTTTGGCACGCTGGGAGGAGCGCGCGTACGTACGTTATCTGATTTTGATACATGCATGGGTACAAGATTGCATTGGTGGTTCGCGCCATGCACCTTTGCCTTTGAACTTTGGCATGCATGCGGAAGGGCAACAAGGTAAACCAGACAACTTCGCGATGCCTTCCTGACGCCTCTTCCGATATCGTCGTTTTAATGATGGAATTCATAATCCTTCGCTCATAGTTCCTCTTCCTGCCTCACATCCTCCTCAGCTGTGTCTGCGGAGGCTCCTCCTTGGAGAGCTTCCTGGGGGCCTCGTGAGAGTTTTTGAGGGCTTCCTGGGGCCTTCTGGAGGCCTCCTGGGCAGTCTGAATATCGGGCGCAAATCTCACGCAGATGCCAACAGCACAACTCATTTTCAACATTCTGACATAACGAACCTTCAAGAGGACAACGGTTTTAAAGGATCGTCGTTCCTGGAGCAGCAGCCGTCTCGCGTGAGACATATTTCAACATTGAAGCCCGACGTATTCAAAGTTATTCCCATATTTTGCAAATTGACAGTTTCGCTCGAGACATCCTCCAACCATTGGTTTCCTGTTTTCAACTGCAATCGCAACGTGTAGAACGCCCTCGTGCGCCACACGCATCGCGAGGTGCGGCAGACCCACCTGCGTGCGACTGCGATCCCGCTGTTGCACCTCCTTCCCAACAGCCCCCCTGGTGATCCTCATTATCCTCACTGTCTCCGTTTTCCCCTCCTTCTCCATCTCCTTCCTCCTCTTCATCATCCTCGGTTCCAACTTCATATGCCTGTTCTTGTCAATTTCCTGCGACACTCACGTGCTGCATTTCCTTTTGTATGAGCCTTGGCACGCATTTGCCACTTGTTCATGTGTGTATGTAGCGGCAGGTGCAGAACTATTTGATAGTAATGGCATGCGTGAGCTTGTATAGATAGACTTATACGACTAAGTCGGCGTTTCGCGCAATGCATCTTGTTCCTGAAGGTTTCGCACACATGCAGCGCGATACATACATACGTATGCATACATCTATATATATATATATATATATATATATATATTTATATATATATATATGTGCATGTATGCATGCATGTATGTATGTACATATGTTGATATGTATCTATGTCTGTCTGCCTGTCTGTATGGATGTATGCACACATGTATGTAAGTGTTTATGTACGAAGGTATTTTAGTATGCATGCATATGTGTATATAGATAGGTAGGTAGTTGGATAGGCATATGCATTTATGTACGTATGTATGCATCTAGATATGTATGCATGTGTGTATGAATGTATGTACGTATGTAAGTATGTAGGTATAAACGCATGCATGTATGTATGTATGTCTGCATCTATGTATGCATGCATCCATGCATGTGTACATGTATACATGTATGTATGTGCAGAAGGATGTTTGCAATTGTATGTATGTATGTATTCATGTACACATGTATACATTCATTGATTTATGCATGTATGCACACATGTATGTATGTGCGTATCTATGCAGGTATGTATGCACACATCCATGTATGTCTGTTTTTAATACATACATGCATGTAGGTATGTATTCATGCATGCATGCATGTATGTATGCGTATATGCATGCATGTATGTATGCATATCTGTATGTATGTAGGCACGCACGTATGCATGTGTATATGCTTGGATGTTTGTGTCTCTATGCATGTGCGTACGTACTCATTTATGCATGGTTGTATGCATGCATGCATGTATGCATGTATGTATGCATACATACATATATATGTATACATATATACGTATATATGCATGACTGCACGATGCATACACACATGCATGCATGTATGTGGATATGTATAGTTGTACGCATGTATACGTGCTTTTATGTGTGCATGCATGTATGCATGCATGCTTGGATGTATCTGTCTGTCTGTCTGTCTGTCTGTCTGTCTGTCTGTCTGTCTGTCTGTATGTATGTATGTATGTATGTATGTATGTATGTATGTATGCCAATATGTACGTGTGTATGTGTGCGTGTATGTATGCATGCATGCATGTATGCATGTATGTATGTACGTATGCATGTGTGAATGTATGCATGCATGTATGTATTTGCGTATGCATGTATGCAGGCATGCCTGTAAGTATGTATACTGTTATTGACAGTCCTGTTCTTGTTCGTTTATCCGATTCTACAGGCGTACGCCACATCCGCCGACCCTTTCTGTGAGTGTTGCGAGGCCAGGAGTTTCTGGCCAGCGGCGTCTTGTGTGAGGGTGCGGTTTCGCGCGCGGGTGGTGGCAGATACGTAGGGGGTCCAAATGTTTGCGTGATGCCGGTGGTCTGGGGCGTGTTTTGCGAGCGCCTTGCGTGCTGTGCACCCGGGTGCGGGGTGTCCTTCTGGGAGGTCGGCCTTTCGACCCGCAACCAAGTGGAGGACCACCGGAAGACGAAAGGAGCAAGAGTAGCGTGCGGAAGCTGTGATCAGCGAGGCATCACCGCGAAAAATGTGGCAGATGAGTCGAAACGGGTGAAGAGGCTGTTGACGTTCGCAGCGCGCACGAAACAGTTCGCGCGGCAGCAGCACATTAGCGCCGAGCAAGATAGTGAGCACGTCGCGAGGAAGAGTAAGGCTGTATGCGCGGAGTGCATTGCAGTTGGCTTGACGGCTCGCAATACGGAAGCGTCTGGGGGTCTTCTGGTGGCCTCCAGGGGGCCTCTTGGGGGCTCCTTGGGGCGTCTTGGCGGCCTCTTGGGGGCCTCTGGCGGCCTCTTGGGGCACTCTTGGGGCCCCCTGGGGCTCGTGGGGGCGGAAAGCTAGATTTGGTTGCCCTCTTGGGCCCCTCTTGGTGCCGTCTTGGAGCCTTCTTGGGCCGTCTTGGGGACCTCTTGGGCCGTCTACCTTGGGCCGTCGTGGGGCCGTCTTTGGGGCCTCTTGGGCCGTCTTGGGGCGGTCTTCGGGGCCTCTGCAGCCGTCTTGGAGCGTCGGAAAGCCCGCGAGACGAAGTTGTGCAGCGTTTACGTTTTACGAAGGAAATGAGCCTTTTTTTTGCGTTTAGGGACCCTCTTGGGACGCATCTTGGAGGCCCCTTGGGGGCGTCTTGGGCCAGCTGGAGGCCATCTCGGGTGTCTTCGATCGCTCTTGGACCGTGTGGGACCATGTTGGGCTCTCCTGGAAGCCACTTGGAGCGCTCCTGGAGCGCTCTTGGGGCCGTCTTCGGGGCTCTCTTGGGCCGTCTTCGGCGCCTCTTGAGCTGTGTAGGCGCCCTTTTGGGCTGTCTTGGGGCCTTCTTGGAGGCTTCTTGGACCGTCTTGGTGCGGTCTTGGGGGCCTCTTGGGCCGTCTGGGAGCGTCGGGAAACCCAAAAGGCGAATTTATGCAACAAATCCGCGTTTTACGAATGGAACGGGCCAACTTTTTGCGTCTAGAGGCCCTCTTGGGGCGCATCTTCGGTGCCTCTTGGGGCCTCTTGGGGGCATTTTGGGCCGTCTGGAGGCCATCTTCGGTGTCCTTGATCGCTCTTGGAGGCTACTTGGAGCGCTCCTGGAGAGCGCTCTTGGGGCCGTCTTCGGAGCCCTCTTGGGCCGTCTTGGACGCCTGTTGGGCCGTCTTGGGGCCCTCTTGGGCTATCTTGGGGCCCTCTTGGAGGCTTCTTGGGCCGTCTTGTGGCGGTCTTGGGGGCCTCTTGGGCCGTCTGGGAGCATCGGAAAACCCAGAAGGCGAATTTGTGAAACATGTACGTTTTACGAAGGGAGTGGGCCAATTTTTGCGTTTAGGGACCCTCTTGGGGCGCATCTTGGAGGCCTCTTGGGGCCTCGTGGGGACTTCTTGGGCCGTCTAGGAGGCCTCTTAGCCCGTCTTTGGGCCATCTTGGGCGTCTTGGAGCGCTCGTTTGGCGTCTCGGGGCCCTAGTGGGCCGTCTTGGAAGCGTCTTGAGGTTCTTGGCTCGTCTTGAGCCGCTTTTGGGGCCAACGAAGCCCCGTGACGCGCTCGTCGTCGGCGAGAGGGGGGGTCAAATCTCCGGTTTGGGGTCCCTGGGGGGGGGAATATGGGGGGGGGGAACTATCTCACACGCCTAGAGACCCACAAGGGGTCGGCGGATTCCTCCTCTTCCTTTTCCTTCGTCCTAGCTAAGCCCAAGAGGCCCGAAGGTGGCCCTGAGGGGCCAAGACGGCCCAGGAGACCTCCCAGACTGCTTGAAAACGGATTCGAGAGAGCCGGAAGAAGGCCCACTCGGAGCCCTTGCGGCAGTACGGCGACGGTCATAACACACATCTGTCTATATATGCACAAGCGTAGTTGCTTATGTCCGCGCACGTTCACACATATACATATATGTATATATCTACATACATACCCATATTCAGGTATATAGTATGTGCATCTGTTTAGTTACTTCGATATACATCCATGAATGTATGCATGCATGTTTGTATGCATGTATACACATACATCTGTATACATTTCGATGGAGCTATGACTGTCGTCTTGTGTGTAAACAGAGGAAGAGGGAGAAAGAGAGAAAGAGAGAAAGAGCGAGAGGGAGAGAATGAGAGACAGAGAGAGAGAGACAGAGTGGGAGAGAGAGAGAGAGAGTGTGTGTGGCTTGGCTTGGCCCACGCCTAGATACTTTGAGTGGGTGTTGTGCGTCCTTTCGAGCATATGCGGGAGTTGCCAGTCGGGGACAGGTGGCTTGCTGGATGTTTTTTGGATCTTGATCTCAACTTATCGTGCGCAGCGTCCCTTCTCTCTCTTTGCTTTGCCCGTTCTCCCCTCACTTGATTCTTCCCGTCTTGCTGGGCAAAATAAAATAGATGAAGAGATCGGATGCCCGCGTGTGATTTTGCGTGCGATCCTCTCACTAGGCTCCCACCGTTGGGAGGAAGCACGTGGCATCATGCCATCCTGCACCATTTGGCCACCATCTCTGCGATGGATTACCTCTGGTGCTCTCAGCTCTGGCGGGTGGCTGTGATTCTTGCCCCAGTCCACATCTACAGGGCCCAAAAATATACCATCACCACCTCCCTCGCCCCTTCCCTCTCCAAGGAAAGAGGGTAAGATGAGGGTGGAGGAGGGAGGGGCAATGGAGATGTTGATGGTGTATATTCTTGGGGCCCACGACATCCCAGCACAGCGACGCCGGGCTTGCACGAACGAGAATCTGTGGGGCAGTGCCGCTGCTGAGGACGCCGCGAGCGTGTGTCCCGCCGCCCGTGCCAGTTGTGCCAGGCGGTTGCCCCGTCGCTCGCATGGCGGCGGCGGTGGCGCCCGCACCCGCAGCGGTGCTGGAGTCACGCCGGTCCTACCCGCAAGGCAGAGGTTCCCAGGCGCCGATTGCCTCTGTCTTTCTTTCGGATTCGTCTTCGCTGTCGCTCTCGTCGTTTCCTGGACTTTTGTGGAGTTGGGTCCTCCTGTTCTGTCCGCTGCGCTGCGCATCTCCTTCTCTCCCTGCCTTCTTCCCTCCCTCCTCCCGCGACCAGTCCCCCTTCCCGCCGCGGCTGTGATGCTGCCCGCCGTGTGCTGCTGCACCCCATCTTGGCACAACCATCACACGCCTCGGGCTCCAATCACGGCCCCGGCATGGGCGTTCTGGTGGCGTCGGCGCGCGTTCATCTTGGCACACACGCACAGACACGCACTCGCACGCCTGGTGTCCCACAGGGAGCTCCAACTCCTGCCTCGGCTTGCACGTTACTGCAACGTCGCCGCGCCCCATATTCGGCACGCCCGTCGCGTACTTCGGTACACCCGTTGCGTGTGTGCCCCAGAACATGTTTCACCTGCGGCCGCAGTGGGGGCTTTCCTGGGTCGTTGCCGCCGCCGCGCCAATTTCGGCGCACCCCTCACTCATCGCGCCCCATGTGGAGGTTCACCTGCGGCCCCAGCGGGGTCGTTCGTACGACGTCCATGGGGAGCTCCACTTGCGGCCCCAGTGGGTGCCTTACTGTAGCGTTGCCACGCCGATGTCTGAACTCACCTCACTCAGATCACGCCCCATATCGAGTTCCACCTGTGGCCTGAGTGGGTGCTTTCATATGGCTTCACCGCGCCTATTTCAGCCCTCCCATCACGCGGATCGTGTCCCATCGGTAGCTCTAGCTGTGGTATCTTGAGGGCTGGGGGAGCTTGCATGGTGTCGCTACGCCCATTTCGGCGCATCTTTCACGTGGATTGTTCCTCATAGGGAGCTCCCGTTCCGACCCTAGTGGATGAGCTTGCACGGTGTGGTCGCGCACATTTTGGCATTATCCTTACACGAATCGTCTCCATAAGACATTCCAATTCTTTCGCCCTGGTGGCGCGCAGTATATGATGAGAGGGCTACACATGCACCACCAGTAACCCCCCCCCCTGATAGTAAAGCATTCCCCGCCCTTTCCCCTTGTATCTTTTTATCCACGGGATTGAATGTGTTTCAATTGAAACAGCAGGCGGGGAGGCCGAGCTTTATTATCCCCTCCAAAGTTCCTATCGGATGTCTCAGGTGAAATGCGATCCAGACATCCTAACATCGATATCGCCGGGAAGAAGTTTGGTTATCCTGCCTGGACCCAGTTTTTTTTTGTGGTGTTGTGTGTTTTCGTTTTTTTATTCACTAGGGGATTTGTCTCACTACGTTAAGCTTAACTGCAGAGGATTGTGCTCTTCGCTGGGCTCGTGTGAATAGACCGCTTGCGTCCCTGCTGGCCCAGACGACTCTGGCGGATCGATACGCATGCTACCTGGAGCCTCTCAGCCTTGTATCGTTGATTGCGTTCGGGCGGTTTTCGAGATCACCGTTTCGTGTGCATGATAGCAATGTCTTCAAAAAGGGGTTGTTGTTCTAGTGCGATCTGTGTCCAAGTGCTTCGCTATCGGATATGCCTCTTTTTCTCAGGTTGTCATTCGGGCTTCTTTCCGACGACATCAGTTTATGGAATTGCAGTCGATTTCTGATCATGACGGCTTCCTGATCAAATTCTGGATAAGCCCAGAAGTTTATCGTCAGCTGCACGCCACTCTCTGAACTTACGGATATCGCATGATTGGGCGGTCCTTGCCACGCGGTCACTTTCGCGGGTTTCATGGGCGGGGGAGGAAACTCGTTCATTATCACCGGATTTCTTGTGTGGATCCTACGCGTCGTTGATCGTGCCGTGGATAGACTGTTTGGAGTGGTAGTTCTGATGCCGTGCAGTTGGTCGAGCCGCTTCTCAGAGAGTGCTCGCGCTCGAGAGTAGATGCTGTCTGGATCCTACGGCCAGCCCGTACGAAGAGGAGCGGGAAGGACGAGAAGGGAGAGTAGCGGGAAGCACAGCGCGAGTACTACCCTCTTCTCTCCCCCGAGGCATTGTGCTTCGGTGGGCGGCTCCCTTATTTTTTACAGTCTTTTTGTTTCCCCTTCCTCCCCCTGCGCACAGCTTTTGTCTTTGTGTGTGCTGCCTCTTCGTTTTTTTTGTTGGAGGGTCCCCTCTGCTGCGTTTTCTAAACGGACCGTTGTCGGTCCTTTTCCCACGGTGCCCTGCTCTCTGCGTCTTTGCTTCCATCCTTCTCAAGCCACGGTGCCCTGCTCCCCTCCTTCCCGCCCTCCTTCCAGAAATGGCCCCTGCTCCCTCCCTCAAAGTTAGTTGCCCCCGTTCCCTGGTTCTCCTCTCCCCTCCCCTCTCCCCTCTCCCCTCTCCCCTCTCCCCTCTCCCCTCTCTCCTTCCCTCCCCTCCCCTTTCCTTCTTCCCCTCCACTATCACCGAATCTGAATACTACTCGTCCTCCGGGTGTCGGAAACACGCAAGCACCACTCACGCGCATACGGTTTGATCTTCTCCCCCGAACGCAGTGTTGGTTTCGGATCTTCTGACTTCGAGTGTCCAAGCTGTGATGCGTAACCGTGCCGATTCTCCCCCGAAGATGGCCAGGGAGTGGTCGCCCCCCCTGCGCGCAGCGCTCTTACACAGGAGTTCAACAATGAGGTATCCGATATTTCATGTTGTTTTCGGTCCTTTAAACGGTACTGCCGCTGCAGCGTGGGCCTCATTTTAGGATCGGCGCTTAGCTCCCGTCGTTCAGAATGGCGCTCCCGCCCCAGCGCGGGCCACTTTTCTGGATCCGAGTCATTGATCATCGTGGTCGCCACCCTCTCTTTTCCCATCCTCCGCCTTCCCCTGGCCCTCCTGCTCCTCCCAGTCCTTCCGCTCCAGCTCCTCCTGCTGCTGCTGCTGCTGCTGCTGTTCGCCCTCGTCCTTGTCCTCGTCCTCCTCCTCCTTCCTCATCCTCCCTTTCCTCCTGCCCATGCTCTGTGGGAAAAACACACGTGGGAAAAACACGCACACACACACACACACACACGTGGGAAAAAAACACACACACACACAGTGTGTGGTTTTCCCACATGTTGTGTGGTGTTTTTTTCCCCCCCCCCCCCCCCTGTGTTTTTTTTCCCACAGGCTTATCCCCCACCTCCAACTGCGCATGGCACGATGGCAGTCCCTTTGAAGTTCCAGTTGCGCCATGGCGCGCGTCGGCGGATGGACACAGTTCAGCGCAAGGGGAAGGAACAGGTGGGAGAGGCACGGTGTCAGACATGGCGCGAGCGTACCGCGCTCGCCTGGTTCCCCTCTCCTTCCCCCTCGCTTCTCTTCTCTTCTGGTCTCTTCTCTTCTCTTCTCTTCTCTTCTCTTCTGGTCTCTTCTCTTCTCTTCTCTTCTCTTCTCTTCTCTCCTCTTCTCTTCTCTTCTCTTCTCTTCTCTTCTCTTCTCTTCTCTTCTCTTCTCTTCTCTCCTCTTCTTTTCTCTTCTCTTCTCTTCTCTTCTCTTCTCTTCTCTTCTCTTCTCTTCTCTTCTCTTCTCTCCTTCTCTCTTCTCGTGTCTTATAGTACCACCTTATATTTTCTTCTCTTCTCTTCTCTTCCTCCTATGTTTTCTTATAGTTTCGTCGGTTCTCTTCTCTTCTCTTCTCTTCTCTTCTCTTCTCTTCTCTTCTCTTCTCTTCTCTTCTCTTCTCTTCTGGTCTCTTCTCTTCTCTTCTCTTCTCTTCTCTTCTGTTCTCTTCTCTTCTCTTCTCTTCTCTTCTCTTCTCTTCTCTTCTCTTCTCTTCTCTTCTCTTCTGTTCTCTTCTCTTCTCTTCTCTTCTCTTCTCTTTCTCTTCTCTTCTCTTCTCTTCTCTCCTTCTCTCTTCTCGTGTCTTATAGTACCACCTTATTTTTTCTTCTCTTCTCTTCTCTTCCTCCTATGTTTTCGTATAGTTTCGTCGGTTCTCTTCTCTCTCTCTCTCTCTTCTCTTCTCTTCTCTTCTCTTCTCTTCTCTCTCTTCTCTTTCTCTTCTCTTCTCTTCTCTTCTCTTCTCTTCTCTTCTCTTCTCTTCTCTTCTCTTCTCTTCTCTTCTCTTCTCTTCTCTTCTCTTATCTTCTCTTCTCTTCCCTTCTCGTCCCTTCTCTTCTCTTCTCTTCTCTTCTCTTCTCTTCTCTTCTCTTCGCTTCGCTTCGCTTCGCTTCTCCTCTCCTCTCCTCCCTCCTCTCCTGTCCTCTCCGCTTCTCTTCCCTCCTCTCCTCTCCTTTCCTCTCCTCTCGTCTCGTCTCATCTCGTCTCGCCTCCTCCTTTAGCTTCTCTTCTCTTCTCTTCTCTTCTCTTCTCTTCTCTTCTCTTCTCTTCTCTTCTCTTCTCTTCTCTTCTCTTCTCTTCTCTTCTTCTCTTCTCTCTCTTCTCTTCTCTTCCTTCTTTCTTCTCTTCTCTTCTCTTCTCTTCTCTTCTCGTTCTCTTCTCTTCTCTTCTCGTCTTCGTCTCGTCTCTCTCTTCTCTTCTCTTCTTTCTCTTCTCTTCTCTTCTCTTCCTCTTCTCTTCTCTTCTCTTCTCTTTCTCTCTTCTCTTCTCTTCTCTTCTCTTCTCTTCTCTTCTCTTCTCTTCTCTTCTCTTCTCTTCTCTTCTCTTCTCTTCTCTTCTCTTCTTCTTCTCTTCTCTTCTCTTTATCCTCTCTCTCTCTTCTCTTCTCTTCGCTTCTCTTCTCTTGTTCTTGCTTTGTCTTGTCTTTCTTGTCTTTGTCTTGTCTTGTCTTGTCTTGTCTTTGTCTTGTCTTGTTTGTCTTGTCCTCTCTTGTCTTGTCTTGTCTTTTCTGTCTGTCTTGTCTTGTCTTGTCTGTCTTGTCTTGTCTTGGTCTTGTCTTGTCTGTCTTGTCTTGTCTTGTCTGGTCTGGGTCTTGTCTTGTCCTTGTCTTGGCTTGTCTTGTCTGTCTTGTCTTGTCTTGTCTTGTCTTGTCTTGTCTTGTCTTGTCTGGTCTTGTCTTGTCTTGTCTTGTCTTGTCTTGTCTTCTCTTCTCTCCCTCTTCTCTTCTCTATCTTCCTCTTCCTCTTCTCTTCTCT